CCATCGACCTGAGTGACCTTGAGTTGGCCATGCCCACCCAGTCACATAACCACTGAGCCCGACCTACCCAGATGGTCATTAGGGCAGAGAACCGGTTGTTAAATTATTTGAATCCCACCACTGGACGGAAGGCACACTGGTGTGCTTATACACATCCCCTTTGGGACTTCTCAAGAAATGTGTAATGGGAGACAGCTTAAGGTCAGCTTAAGGTCAAAGGTATGGGGAGTTAGTGGAACTAACAACAGGATCAGGTAAGGTGTTCCACATATTTACTACTCTATTGCTGAAACTGTTTTTCCTCTAATCAAGATTAGAACTTAGTGATGTAACACAACTATGATGGAGAAGACACGGGTCTGCAATGAATCCCCAGCGCTACTGCACAGAATATGTACACTTTGTTCAAAGAAAGGCTTGGAACAATAAGCTAAAAAACATCAATCTCTTTTAATTATTGAAAAGCTGCTCCAGCAAAGATATTGTCAGCCTCTGCTTTGCTACTTGCTTTCAGCTGCCATTGAAACGGTATAACCTTTCATACTCTGAAAGGGTAAGAAAAGTAGGATGAGATTAAGAGAAATCTTCAGGCACACGTTCTTAATTTGGTTGAAACTCATAATAAAATGACTTCACAATAGAAGCTTTTGAAACCTATGGACAAAATTTGCCAGATAGCCCATATTAGTTTAAATCTGGAAATGAAAGAAAAAGGTGACAAAGAAGGTGAGGAAGATTTATAACCAAATTCTTCCCCCCTCTCCAAATTTTATTAAATTATAGAATAAAACATAAAAGCAAATAGAACATTGTATGACAGGGAAGGAGGAACAAAATTGAAGAGGGGACAAGGAAAAGAAAAAAAAGCATGGACATCTGACTCTCTCTGTTGCAGTTTGAATAAAGCATTATCATCGAAGCTCGACTTTTTACTTTTTCATAATTATGTAAACTAGCCTTTTCTATAACAACGAATCAAATCAATAAAACCCAAAATCAAAGTTTCATTTTTTTCCACCTCAAGCAGAAAGTCCATAAGTGGTCTCCAGGTACCATGTTTTCCCGAAAATAATATAGAATCTTATTTTCTTTTAACCCCCAAAATAAGCACTTGGCGTTATTTTTGGGGAGGTCTTATTATTTTTGAGGTGCAGAAGGCGGCGAGCGTGGTCACCTCATGGCTATTGCTGTGTTGCAATATTTTCGGGGGCGGGCTTATTTTAGTGCATGGATTCAAAATCCCAATTGGGCTTATTATCTGGGGAGGTCTTATTTTCAGAGAAAGAGGGTATTTATATTCTTTTCTTTGATCAAAATGTACAAAAGTGTACAAAATGTCATTTCTGACAACTCCATCAGCTTCTGTAGCATTCGTCCATTTGATGTTGTTAGTGTTCAACACATCACAGCCCCATGGACAATGTTCCTCCAGGCCTTCCTTCCTCTACCATTCTCTAGAGTCTATTTAAGCTCATTTAAGTCACTGAAGCCTACTGCTTCAGTGACTTCATCCAGCCACCACATTTTCTGTCGTCCCCTTCTTCTTTTGGCCTGAACCTTTCCCAGCATTGGGCTTTTCTTCAGTGAGTCCTTCCTTCTCATTAGGTGGCCAAAGTTCGCCCATAGAGGAAATCAAAATGTCCTTCCATTTTTGTGCATACAGTAGTGTTGCTGCCATCAGTATCTATAAGATCAAAAGTACCATTTTTTCCTGTTTTTTTCGTTAAATTCACCTTTTTCTTCAATTTAAGAATATTCTGTACTAAATATGAATCCTACTCCAATATTTAACCACATAAAAAAATTAACAATACTATCCTGAACTATAATATAAAAGGCACACTCACACAATTTTGCTGTGTATGCTCATAGACATATACCTCTGCAGTTAAAACCATTGTATCCCCAAAATGTAAGATTTAAATTGGGACCATTGAAAACTCAAGCAGTTAGTTCATAAAGGCCCAGATGTTAGCTTGATCCACCTTCTTTCACTGAAGGTTATTTTAGAATTCATCTTCTAAATCAGTGGTCCCCAACCCCCGGTCCGCGGACCGGTGCCGGGCCGTGGAGTACCTGGCACCGGGCCGCGCAGTGGCCGGGGGCCATGATCGCTGCAGCGGCCGGGGCCATGATCGCTGCAGCGGCCGGGGGCCATGATCGCTGCAGCGGCCGGGGGACATGATTGCTGCAGCGCAAAGGCTCCTGGGCCGTGCACAAAAGCTCCTGGGCCGTGCACAAAGGCTCCAGGGAAGAGAGCCCCGCGCAGGTACGCACGTGTGGCCCAAAGCTGACGTGTACCTGCGACCCTGCAGACGTCTCACCAGTCTCCCTGCGGCTCTACAGAAAACGCCTCGCTCAGAAGACGTCTCCCCGGTGTTCCTGCGCCTTTAATCAAAACAATCTGATATATAAACAATCAATGTGTCATCGCAAACAATGCCTCTCCACCCCTGCGCGCGCTCAGCGGGCCACGGTAAAATTATCAAAGGCTGACTGGTCCGCGGCGATAAAAAGGTTGGGGACCACTGTTCTAAATCATCTGGTTACTGATATCCCTAATCAGGGATCTTCGCAAATTTATGGAAAGTTTTTGCTGTCCAGTATCAGATGCAGAATAATTGCAAGACAATATGGCTAGAGCAGGCAGGCTGGTATGTTATGGGAAAAGGATGTGAAATTGGAGGACTACCTTCTTCTATTAGCATCTGGGTACTTCATCGAGTCTGCTCTAATCAGAACATTGAGATGGAAGGAGACTTTGAAATTATCTTGTCCTTGTTAATAGTAAGGAATCCAAAATATATTTCACAGTGGCAATCCAGTTTGTGTTAATCAATCTATAACCGTGATGGCGAACCTATGGCACACAGAGCCATTTTTCCCACATGGCAGCCCTCAGCTCTGGCATGCATGCATGTGCCAGCCAGCAGATTTTCAGCCTTCGGGAGGGCCAGGGGAGGCCGTCTTCACCCTCCCCAGGCTTCACGAAAGCCTTCAGAGCCTGGGGAGGGTGAAAAACGGGCCAACCGGAAGTTCATTCCCAAACTTCCAGTTAGGGAGTTGGCCATTTCTTGCCCTCCCCAGGCTTCAGGAAAACAGGGTCACTAGGTCAACCGGAAGTTCTGTTGGGCCTGTTTTTTGCCTCCCCAGGCTCTGGAGGGTTTCCTGAAGCCTGGGGAGGGTGAAAACTCCCCTCACACACGCAAGGGCGCGTACATGCATACACGGGGTTTCGTGTGGGCATGCATAGGGGTGGTCATGCATGCATGCGCAGGTGGGTGGGCATGCATAAGTGCACAATAGCACACACACAATTTTGGCACACTTTTAGAAAAAGG